AACACAAATAGGAAATCGTACTCAAACCACTAATTCGACAACGGCAAGACATGTAGGTCGTGAAGATTAAACATTATGTTTGAATGCAGAAAAACAGTTCAACAACATGCAAACAATTTGGTAAGTCAAATTAAAAGAAAATTAATCGTACCAAAACAATGGAGTTATAATTTATCCCTCAAGGTAACATAATAAAATTTTATTAATGGTCTTGATAGCTATTGAATTTTTCTTATATTTATTTAGAAAATTTCTGATGCAGTCAATGTGTGTTGCAACTGCATACTTTTATTGTTTGAGGTTAGGTCAAAGTTTTGTGCTAGAGAATATTATTTGACATGATTCAAGTCAAATTTTCAGGTGAATTAAAATATATTTTGATTAGGAATCTAAATGAACGTTCATTGATTTTATATTAGCTTATATTTCAATGTTGATTTTATTCGTTGAACCTTATACTCTTTCTTTGTCTATCCAAACATAAGATGAAATTCCTTATGACCTTGGTTCATAACAATGTTAATACAGATCAAATGATACACATTAGTTGCATATTTTATTTTTCCATTATTAATTTATAGCCTCTTCCATAAGTTTCCAGTTCGAATCCATGACCTACGTACAGAAGGCTTAGGGGTGATTGTTTATGAAATAATTTGTTCAAAATGAATTATTTGTTTAATCATAGTTAATTTTAAAAAAGTGGTATAGTTAGTTGTTAGTGGAATTTTAAGATGGTATTATAATAATATTTAAAATAAAATGATCAAAATTGATTTGATGTAAAAGTAGAAGATAAATGATTGAAAATGATTGGTAGTTAAAATATGTGAGTGGATGAATAGTGAATTAAAGTCCATGTGATGTGTAAGAATGATTTGTTTGTATTATTTAATTATATGAATAATATTAAAGATAGTGAAGTTGATTTAAAATTGAGTTAGATTTTGAGTATGAAATAAATGGGAATGAAATAATTCATAAACAATCAAGCAGTTAGACTTTCCATAAAACGAAGACGGAACACAATGCTAGGGACAATTTTTCAGCCTTTTCCTGCTGCATTTAAGTTTCTGAATTACTCCAACCATATAATCAAATGCAACAAAATGTTGTTCTTCAGCTCAAAGACACAATAGGAAATTCAGCATTCCAAAACATACAAACTGGCTAACCTCCTATGATGAGAATAATACAGAGCCTCTAAGTTTAAAAATCAATCTAGAATCCCTTCTCAATCGGAAATATCAAGTCAACAAAGCTTCACCAAACTAACACTAAGAATATCAAAGAAGTGTAAAAATCCCATGCACATATTACTTTAACATAGGAGGTTAAAAAATGAAATCCCAAACAAAAGCTGAAGCTATGTCGGATAAAAGCTTTCACCCCTTGATAAATCGATGTTTCTGAGAAAAAAAAAAGGCTCTACCTTGAATAAATCAAAGCCCTGAAATTACAAATGACAAATCATCTGACCTTTCAACAAAGTTGGGAGTATCTTCGACCTGTAAAATTCGGAGCTCAACTGTGTGTTAACTTAGCCGAAATTGTGTTGACGATCCATGGATCCACTTCATGATCTACAATTTGAGTAAACCCAAATGTTATGAGGTCACATATGTAATGCTGAATGACTCATGAGTTGCCATAAATATAAATAAAATACCTGGATAGTTTCCGAAGTAAGGAATTTGACCTGATTCATTTATTTGAAGATCCACCCGAGATATCGATCTCATTTTAGATATCAAGTCTTCATGCACAAGACTTGCGCATTGTCCCATGGGATAAAAATATACAGAATGCATCTTCAATAATGTTTACACGCAGATAAAAATCAGAGAAAAATGAGACAAAAAGAAGTCATACCATAATTGGCAAATATGCTATAATTTGATGAACAGAAATCCAAATAGGCATTGGACCTCTTAGTAAGAAAGACTTTCAGAAGTTGATATATAGGAACATATTCTGCATCTTTCTCCAATTGCACTACAATTGGTATATCTAGTAAGTCAACCTGCTACACACAAAAAATGATAAATCTTTAGGATTATGACTTTAAAGTTTCAAAAGCACCCATCTACAATATCTTTATGAAAGAAAGCTACAAAAGAAATGCATTTAAAAACAACTAAAATCAAATCATGGCATTACCGAATTACCTGAAACATGTCTGATGACTTCACAAGCTCAATAACAGCTTGGAAGGCTTCTTCTTTAGCTTCAGGTTGTCACCGTTCAGTGGTGTTGCCGGGCTGAGTGCGAGCGACGGGAAATCGAGAATACTCGGGGACAGGGTCCCGGGCTGCCGGGCCAAAAAGCCTGCTGGAAGCAGGGTGTTGATCATGAGCCTGTTTTTTAGGCTGTTCCGCCGCTCGTACATCTCTTGCATTCCGCCCCAGGTGGCGGAGGGGGCGGCGGGTAGAGTGGCAGCCTGTTTGGCGTTGTCGGAGGGGCGGGTGAGCATCTGCACCACCTGCTCAAAGATGGTGGCGTCCGCCTGGACAATGGTGGTGGGGTAGGGGCCGGCGGGCTCGTGGTGGGATCTGGGGGCGGAGGGCCTGGGGATCGGCGGCTGAGATTCGCCGGGGGCGGCGGTGGAGGTGGCCGGAGGAGATGAGATTTTCTCTCTCTCCAACGGCGTTGGTGGGGCAATTTCCATTTTTTTTTCTTTGAAGTTTTTCTTCTTCTTTTGTGATGGGATAACNATAAATTACTGATCAAGCCCCAATTCCCAAATATCCTTGAGGTTTATACATTCTATAAAAACCCCCAATTCCCAAATATCCTTGAGGTTTATACATTCTATAAAAACCCCCAATTCCCAAATATCCTCGAGGTTTATCCATTCTATAAAATATGGTGCCAGTTTCATTCCTGATACTTCACATTGCTGAGGTACTTTGATCTTCAAGTCCCAATTTCCACTTCATAATGCACATATAAAAACTACCTAAATAAAAAATACCAATTATTTATAGGGTAGAATCTGGTCCTAGAACTATTTTATTGATGTAATTATGAATTCAGAACTTGGAATCACAACCTAGAAATATTCTCCATATACATATATACTTTGCATTGCTTGGGACTAAAGGCTATGTTGTTGTTGTTGTTGTTGTATCATATACTTTGCATTTTGGAAGAATACTTAGAGGAGAAATGCCATTTATTAATTAAGTCATTTGTTGTTAGCCGCATCAAATCATTAGATAGATATATTTTTTTTGCAAAATAATAATACTAATAATAATAATAATAATAATATATTGTTATAACAAAATGTTATACCTTTTTATCATAACACAATAACATAATTATAGCATAAAAAAATAAATTTTTTTCATAGTTCTAAAAAATTCTGACTATATCTCCTCACAAACTGAATAGCACTCTCAATTTCTTTTTATTGATTAGAAACTGGATGATAACCTTTGAAGCAATCACATACATTCATTCAGATGGACCTTAATAAAAGTAAATATAAAATGAATTGCTATCCAATCTCATATAAGTGTATTTCAAGGTCTTACATGCGCGCAAAACTCCGACAATATTTAGGGAATTGTCAATGCCCAGATGGTGACTTCCTAACGGCAGGATTTGGAGTTCCATCATCATCGACATCATTCCTGGTACCTGCCGTTAAAAGACCAAGAAAGTGTGTTGCAAAGATCAGTGCACGTGAAACAGTAATCAACCAGAAAGAAAAAAAGTAAACATCATGAGATATCATTTTCTTATTTTTCACAGATAAATAAGGTTCAATAGAGAAACCTAAGAAAACACTAAACTTGCTTTCGAAATCACAATGATTTCCCGAGTTTTGGGTTAATGTTAAGAGTAATAGGCTAATGATGCTAATTTTATGTGCCTATATGGTCTCAACGTAACCACCGGCAATCTTCTCATTCCTCAATTCAGGGTTGAAAGCATGATGATTTAAGAAAGTGAACAAGCCAGAGGCTCAACTAAAATAAATGTCTCTGAATTTGAAAAGACTACTGTATACATATTATTGTGAATGAGTTGGTCAGCTTATATTGTTGGTTGTTTATTCCTCGTTTGTTCCCCGAAAAAGTCTCAAAACTTGCTCCATGAAAATAATTAACAATGGTTTTCGGTTGTACCTAGAAAGTTGTGGCTGTCATTACTGCATCCGTAAAAGGAACCGAATTGGTTTGAAGTCCACAAATCGCGGCCTAAGCTTCCTCGAGCAAAAGCCTCAAACAGCCAGGAGTAAAGACACCCTGCTTCATTGGGAACCTTGCTTATCACAGCCTCCCATAATCTTAAACGCGCAGCCCCTGAACTCCTAAAACACAAACAAGTAATGCCCATGTTACAACAACAACATAGACTTTAGTCCCAAGCAAGTCGGGGTTGGCTAGAAATGAAACCCAAGAGAAATACAAAAAAGGTTCGAAACAAAAGGAAGAGACTGAACACACAAAAAAAAGGAGCAAAAGTCACGGTTCTGGCACGTTGATTGTTAGCCTCCAAGCGCTCCTATCCACGGCTAAATCCTTAAAGATATTCCAATCTTTAAGGTCTTTCTTAACCGACTCTTCCCAAGTGAGTTTAGGCCGACCTCTACCTCTCTTTACATCCTCGACCCGCTGAAGAACTCCCCTGCTCCCCTCCCCTGCGCTGGTGCATCAGGAAGCCTCCGTTGGACATGTCCGAACCACCCATGTTATACTACTCAAATACAAACAAAAAAACATAACAGACTATTGACACACTTTAATATCCAAAATTTGTCTAACAAATCAGAAATCAAGAAGAGAGATAACCATTGAGCAAATATCAGACCGCTAGAAATAAATGAAAAAATAAGCATTGGCCTAAAATTTCAAATCTTCATTGAAAATAACAGTGGAAAATAAGGTAATAGAGATGGGATAAATATAAAAAGTGCATACTCTTCAGGAGGGCAACATCGTCTTCATTGAGAGCCCTAGCGTTCTTCAGATCGGCCGAATACTGAAACAAACAAAAAAAAAACGTTGGCTCATAAAATTGACAACTCCGAAATCAAAAGCCTCAATTANTAAAAAAAAAAAAACATTGGCTCATAAAATTGGCAACTCCGAAATCAAAAGCCTCAATTACCCGACGATTTATTTCTGATATCCACTGTCGATACGGCCTGGGGAAACTTCCCAGATCGAAGGTCCTCTCCTTCATCATTCTCCCCGCGTCGGCCTTCTTTAAGACGTGCGCTCAATAGGGGGTCGGACTCATCTCGGGCAGAATACTTGATGTCGTAGACCGTCTCCGGCAGCAACGCTGGCGCGATTGTTTCGGCGGAGGCGGTGGCGGGGCAGAAGACGCGGCACTCCGTCGCCTTGGGGACGATGGAGATGTACTCAGTGTGGGCGAGGGCGACGGAGCCCATAATCCCCCATGGCTTCTTGATGTGGGCGGTTTTGGATGGGGAGAAGTGGTCCTGATTGGAAAATCTCATTGTATTTTTTTACCGAATGGAAAATGAAAGCTCTCTATCCTGTCACTCCTGTCTCATTGGTATGAAAAGATGAAGACGTGCAAAGCTCAAAAAAGCTGTCTGTATTGTTTTGACCATATGGAAAGAAATATATTTATTTTGTCGTGGTAAATTTATATATATATTTTTACTATCAAAATTTACAAAATAAAACTAAAATACATGTATAGATAAAATCATCAATTATTAACATAATAAATACATCAATTAATACATAATCAATACTATATAAACAAAAAAATAAAAATAATAAAAAAAAGTCTAGCGTGTCTCGTACGTTTCGGAAGCTTACTTAACAGCAGTACGCTTCGAAAGCTTACTTGACAGCAGTACGCTTTGGAAGTTTACTTGACAGCAGTACGCTTTGGAAGTTTACTTGACAGCATTACATGTTTTGGCTTTTGGTTCGGATACATTCTATACTAAGATTTTGCTTAATCTGTCCTCCAACTCCAAAATAAATAGGGCTCCAAAATAAATAGGATTCTTAATCTGTCTCCAACTCCAAAATAAATAGGGCTCCAAAATAAATAGGATTCCAAGTCCAAAATAAATAGCCTCCAGGATTTTTTTTTGTTTAATACTATAATAAAAAATTTAGACGTAATTTATGAAATACCAAAATAAAAAATAAATAGAACTTTTTACTTAATATTATAATAAAAAATTTAGACGTAAATTATTTAATGTTTTATATTTTTTTTTTCAAACAACCCGTATAATACACGGGTATCGTACTAGTATAATTTGGAGAATCAACACAACTCCAGCGAGCGCAGGGTTGAAGTTGGTTCCTAACCAAATAGGTGAGATTAATTCCTTTTTGTTTTTAATTTTTGTACTAATTTGTAATTAAAATAAAAAAGAGGTTAAGATTGCAATTTAAAAAATACAAACGCAATATATACATTACCAGGAGGAGAGAGAATCACATAAGCGCAAATCCGTCTTGGCTTACCTCCTCAACAAAACCCTAATTTGCTAATTTATCTGATGGCTTCAATCGACAGGCTCGGCGCCTTGCCCGACGAAATCCTCTTTCACATTCTCTCTTTTCTCCCCTTCAAAACCTCCGTCTCCACCAGCACCCTCGCCGCAAGATGGAGGTTTTTATGGGCTTATGCCCCTATCATAGAACTAGGCGAATCGAATTCGAGGAAAGTGATGTGTAGAAAGTTCGAAAACTTGGTGACAAAGATTCTGTCCCAATGTGAAAGCGTGAACACACTTCGCCTCCACAGGGCTTACTTCATCAGGCCTGAACTTGACGGGTATCTCGAGCGCGCCTTTGCGGGCAAGATGAAAACTCTCGATCTTACTGTGCGGGTGGAATCTCATATTTTACCCCCTTATGTGCTCACCTCCGAAACCCTAGTTAATTTGAAGCTCAATAATTTCGATATTGAGATAAAGAATGGCACCGTGTGCTTACCAGCCCTCAAGAGGCTTCATCTTGAGTACGTTACTCTTTATGGCTCCCTTGAAAACCTGATTTCCGGTTGTCCGGTGCTTGAGGAGTTTACTGTTTGTTCCGATATCTCTGTTGTCGTTGACGAAACTGTGGATTGCCATTGCATATCTTCTCCCACTATGAAGAGGTTGGCCCTCAACTGTGACTTAGCTTTCAGGTTGAAGATAGATACTCCCGCACTTGAACATCTTTATTTAGATTATATTAATCCCTATAATATATCGGTTGGGTCGATAGACTCCTTGATTGGAGTACATATTGTTGCTGATCGTGTCAAGCCAATTGTGAACGGCGATCCTTATTCCCCTTCTCTTGTAGAATTTGTGGGTAGGTTCTCTAGTGTAAAAGAAATGACCTTACATGCTTGCCATTGGGGGAAGGTAAAACTTGTTTTTCTGCATCTCCTTTTGCTTTTTTCTTTCGCTTTTTCCTCTCTCTGTTTTTCTTTCCTTTTGTAATCTTTGTTTTCCTGCAGGTTCCTGACTCGACCCATGTCTATTTGAACATAAAGTTTCCCAATTTAGCCAAACTCACAGTGAGTGGTGATTGGCGTTCCATCTTATATTTCGTGGAGAAGGCTAACACGCTTCAAGTCCTTAACGTTAGTCTGATTGTTTTGTCTATATTTTCAACTTGTATGGTTATGACTATGTTTGATAGAACTAGTTGATAAGTGATTGATGGCCCAACCTTATTCTGCATTTGTTTTCTTTTTGTTTTATCATCAGGTTATGCAATATCTAGAACGTCAATGCGAGATGGAACCCATCCAGTTGTTGCCTCCTAAATGCCTGCTGGCTAAATCAATCATGAATCTTCACAATTTAACAAAACTCGAACTGAACGTCGATTGGTGGTTTCTCACATATTTCCTAGAGAAGGCTCATAAACTTAAAGTCCTTATTATCCATAGGGTAAGCATTTCCTTTTTATTCATCTCCTGTCAGAATTTGTGAGAATTTTATACTTGTTCACATTTCCATGCTTACCTTTCTGTTTCATTGTCAGTTTTATAATAATCGAAAGCGCTGGTTCGCGGCTCCCCTTCGAGTGCCTAATTGCCTGTCCTCACATCTTAAAATAGTACAAATTTTAGAATTGGACAGTACAGAGCAGAAACTCGACATGGTTAGATATCTCTTGAAGAATGCTAAAGTCCTGGAGAGGATGGAAATACAGTGCTTCGCAGAATCAATCGGGAAAATTTCATCATTTGATCGAGGATCTGAGATGTGTGAGATTGTCTTCAGTGAATATGTGGAATCAGACGATGATTTAGATTTTTAACATGATCTAAGTAATGTCTCGTCATGCTAACACTCCATGATTGAGGGTCCTCTCATAAATATTACTTATGTCTTCTTAAATAACTCATATATTTATGTGTCTTTGAATTATTTATTATTATTATTTTTTTTTTTTTTTTNCATTAGGAAATGATTTTTTTTTTTCCATTTCTTTGCGGGAAATGTCTCTCTCTACATTTTAATTGTTCGAGCCAAGAAAATTATATAGCCTTGACCTCAATGATGTCATTGCTAAAAAAGTGTCTTGAAATGGAAAGGCTAATTCGACTCAAGTGTCCACGATGGGTTTCGACCCATTGGTAAGTTATAACAATGCGTCTTGTTAGTTTAAACATTTTCAGCATTTCCATCT